TCTTCCCATCTCTGCTTTTCATCTGTCCATATTGTGGAAGTTTGACTTCTAAACTTCCTTCGATAATATATATACATATATATTGAAACTTTGATATTGTCTCTACTTCAGGATGATTGTATATACGTATGAAACCGCCGGCCAGTCAGAAGATAGTACATGATTAGTTCATGGTCTGTATCACATGGGAAAACACCAAACACTGTTTTCGTGCTTTTCTGAGGGTAGCAAGTACCATTGAGCAGCCAAATATCAAGGATCTATAGTATCATGGTGATTCCAAACCATCTCTGTGCTGCAATGCAGAACACCAACATATATATATAATACTATATATATAACTATCTATATATACACACATATATATACGGTTATGCTAAGTTCATATTAATATGCACCCCCACAATTAATCAACACCCGCATTCCGTCTTTTTTAATACTGCTTTGGGTTGGTCCCACCCTATTAATCAACATGGGTGGTCACCCCCTATGAAACAACACCCTTCTGGAAAATCCTAATTTTGGATTCAAAACCAATGGAAACCCAATGGAAAACCAATGGAACAACAATGGATTCAAAGCATTTCTTGTACTAAATCCCATGAATCCCATTGAAAGACCAATGGATTCAAAGCATTTCTGATCCTAAATCTCATGATTCCCACTCCAAATCTCATGAATCCTATGTTTTGCTTTCGCTGCTCATTATTTGGGGGTGAAAACCTTCTCATGGATCTAGACCTTCTGGGGGGGTTATAAACACGAACTTGGCATTGTGTATATACATATCTATATATATATATATATATTAAATATATACATAGTACATATAATATATAGGGGGTTCTTAAAATGAGGGATCCCCAAGTCACCATGGCCATGGGCTTCAATACTAAGCCATGGTCTAACGACTTGGATGATTTGGGGGTACCACCATGACTTAGGAAACCACCATATATCCTGAGTGATTTGGCAACGTCGGCAGGATGATTTCTGTGGGGATTCAAGTGAATCAACAGTGCCTGTTGTCGGACGTCGTTGGTAGTTTTGATCCCTTGAACATGCGGGCTGTCCAAAACTAAGTCACAGTAGCCCCAAATCCCCGTCAATTATTATCTTCCCCATTGCGATTTTGTGTTCTTCAGAAAAAAAACAAACAGTTTCACACACACACACCCAAATGGTATGAAATGCTCACTGGGATCATCCAACATCCTTGAAATGTGGCTCTGACTCTCAGGACTCTCAGTCGTACTTCGTGCCTGAAACAAACATGTCAAAAAGACCCACTCTGGGCTGATCCGTAAAGTTATACAAGATTGTCTTTCCCAGTACCCTCTGGTAATTTAAGATAGCCACGGAATATGGCCCTTTTGTGGATGAGGTACCTATAAAAATGGTGATTTGCCAAGGTTATGTTAAATTGCCAGATGGTACTGATTGTACATACCAAAAATGCTTCTCTCAAGAAAAGAGAGATAGAAATGGCAGCAGCCCTGCAGTGAACCTGTAACAGTCCCAACCATTGTCACGTCCTTCATGTCCGTCCATGGGTGACTTGTGAGGAATCACATCATAAACCATAGGCCATCATACAAATAATGACTGCTCTTCATTTCACCTACTACAATCACCCCTCCAAGATTTACCCGATTTACCCTGTTCCAGTATTAGCTAAATAATGTATTCCATGATGAATGAAAAGTTTTGTAGAAGAGCAAGCCGACACAATCTGAATTAATTAATGTGGGATACAGATTAGTGTGGGGATACAGAATTGTGTCCACAGACTCCAAAATTATTTTGTATCTTTGGAAATGATCGAGGGGTACAGTTTTGTGTCCACAGGATTTTGGTGCAAGTTTGTTTTTCATTTTTTTGTTTTTTAGTTTTTAATTGTTTCTTATTTTTATTTTCAATTATAATATGTTTTTTTAATTTAATTATTTATTATTTTATTTTAAATTATTTTTTATTTTGTTTTTAATTATAATATTTGTATATACTAGTTTGTTATTTTATTATTTAAACTTAACATTTTTTTTATTGTGTCAGGATACACAATTGTGTCATTGTGTCAGGATACACAATTGTGTCTTGGTCTTGTTTCTGTTTGTTCAAACATTTTTCATTTTTTTCATTTGTTAAAGTTTTTTCTTTTACTTTTTATTTTCCATCATTGAAATTTTCCAGATGCCTTCCACAGAAAATTACATCCAGGTACACAATAGTGTGGTTTGTTTGGAGGGTACACTATTGTGTCCAGCTGCTTTCCTGAGGTCATGATTTTTTGATTTTTTCAATCATTTCCTTTACCTTTTCCTTTGCTAAAGTTTTTTCTTTTAATTACTTAATTACTTTCTTAGTTTCTTTCTTTTGAAATTCTCAGAAATGCCCAGTTTCCCAAAAGATATGATGCCTTATTAAAACCCAATTAAAAAAACATCAATCAAACAATTTTTCAAGGGGGTAGTCCATGAGCAACCCTGATACATAATAGTGTGGTTTGTTTGGAGGGTACACTATTGTGTCCAGCTGCTTTCCTGAGGTCATGATTTTTTGATTTTTTCAATCATTTCCTTTACCTTTTCCTTTGCTAAAGTTTTTTCTTTTAATTACTTAATTACTTTCTTAGTTTCTTTCTTTTGAAATTCTCAGAAATGCCCAGTTTCCCAAAAGATATGATGCCTTATTAAAACCCAATTAAAAAAACATCAATCAAACAATTTTTCAAGGGGGTAGTCCATGAGCAACCCTGATACACAATAGTGAGGTTTGTTTGGAGGGTACACTATTGTGTCCTGCTGCTTCCTGAGGTGATTTTGTTTTTTTTTGCAATCATTTCCTTTACCTTTTCCTTTGCTAAAGTTTTTTTCCTTTTAATTAATTAATACCTTCTTAGTTTCTTTCATTTGATATTCTCAGAAATGCCCAGTTTCCCAAAATATATGATGCCTTATTAAAACCCAATTAAAAAACATCACTCAAACAATTTTTTCAAGGGGGTAGTCCATGAGCAACCCTGATACATAATAGTGTGGTTTGTTTGGAGGGTACACTATTGTGTCCAGCTGCTTTCCTGAGGTCATGATTTTTTGTTTTTTTCAATCATTTCCTTTACCTTTTCCTTTGCTAATTTGTTTTTCTTTTAATTAATTACGTTCTTAGTTTCTTTCATTTGATATTCTCAGAAATGCCCAGTTTCCCAAAATATATGATGCCTTATTAAAACCCATTTAAAAAACATCACTCAAACAATTTTTTCAAGGGGGTAGTCCATGAACAACCCTGATACACAATAGTGTGGTTTGTTTGGAGGGTACACTATTGTGTCCTGCTGCTTCCTGAGGTCATGATTTTTTGATGTTTTCAATCATTTCCTTTACTTTTTCCTTTGCTAAAGTTTTTTTTCTTTTAATTACTTAGTTACTTTCTTAGTTTCTTTCATTTGACCAATTTCCCAAAATATATGATGCCTTATTAAAATCCATTAAAAATCATCACTCAAACAATTTTTCAAGGGGGTAGTCCATGAGCAACCCTGGTACACAATAGTGTGGTTTGTTTGGAGGGTACACTATTGTGTCCAGATGCTTCCTGGTGTGATTTTTTTTCAAGCATTCCCTTTACCTTTTCCTTTGCTAAAGTTTTTTTCTTTTATGGTATTTCTATGGTATTACTATTGGATTTCTATGGAATTCCTATGGGGTTTCCATGATGTTTCTATGATATTTCTGGAGGATTTCTATTGGATTTCTGAAGGGGTGCTATGGGAGTTCTATGGTATTCTTATGGGATTTCCATTGGATTCCTATGGGATTTCTATGGTATTTCTATTGGATTCCTATGGAATTTCTATTGGATTCCTGTGGGATTTCCAAGGTATTTCCATGATGTTTCTATGATATTTCTATGGGATTATTATGGGAATTCTCATGGGATTTCATGCTATTCCATGTTATTTCTATGATCTTTCTATGGGATTTCTGTGAGATTCCTATGGGATTTCCACGGTATTTCTATGATATTCTTTGGGACTACTATTGGATTTCTATGGGATGTCGATTGAAAGTAAATTGGCAGTAAATTGAAATCAATTGAAAGTAAATTCAAAGTAATTTGAAATCAATTGAAAGTAAATTGAAAGTAAATTGAAAGTAAATTGAAATCAATTGAAAGTAAGTTGAAATCAATTGAAAGTAAATTGAAATCAATTGAAAGTAAATTGAAATCAATTGAAAGTAAATTGAAATCAATTCAAAGTAAATTGAAATCAATTGAAAGTAAATTGAAATCAATTCAAAGTAAATTGAAATCATTTCAAAATAAATTGAAATCAATTCAAAGTAACTTCAAATCAATTGAAAGTAAATTGAAATCAATTGAAAGTAAATTGAAATCAGTTGAAAGTAACTTCAAATCAATTGAAAGTAAATTGAAATCAATTGAAAGTAAATTGAAATCAATTGAAAGTAAATTGAAATCAATTGAAAGTAATTTCAAATCAATTGAAAGTAAAAGGTAATCAATTGAAAGTAAATTGAAATCAATTGAAAGTAAATTGACATCAATTGAAAGTAAATTGAAATCAAATCAAAGTAAATTGAAATCAATTCAGAGCAACTTGAATTCAATTCAAAGTAAATTGAAATCAATTTAAATCTATCATTTTTTTTGATTTCACACTATTGCGTACCCGATACCTTTATTTTTTCACACTATTCTGTACCGCAAATTTGTTAAGGGAGGGCGGGGGGGTCCCCCCTACACTAATCCGTATCCCACATTACTCTATTTGGGGTGAATGCAATACTTATTCTCAAATGACAACCTGATCTGGCTTCATGTGAGAATAGGGTACCCCAAAACCCTATGGTTTGTCATCATGTTCCAATAAAAAGTTGACATCTAAATATTTAACGAATACATCAGACACACCCGTCTTGTGACAGTTTACAACATCTTCCAACCCAAGCCAGGAACATCCAGGAACGAGGCACTCCAGGCTGGACATGGGAGTGGTTGTGCCTTCGCAACCTTTGTCCCTTTAAAAAGAGCCGTTTCAAGAAACGGCTGCCAAGAAAAGTGCCAAAGATGGTGGCCGCAAAAAATCACTTGACGGAAAAAAAAAGTGGGGCCAACCATCCATGAGAAAACAATAGTTTTATGGATTGGATCATCCGTCTCAACCGAATCTGACTGGTTGAGAGGGACTTCAGCAACTGGATAGGTGCTTCCCTAAACTTCACATCGGATATCCGAAATATACATAAGATAAAATGAGCCAAAAATGCTAAAATAAGATAACATCAGCACGCATTGCCTATGTATATTTTTACATGTATATTAAACATATTATATACATATACATATTGTGTATCTATGTATATGTGATGCTCATTTCTTTACCCTTTACATATCCATGTCGATCGTTTCCCTTCCTTAGATAAGGTCTCCCAGCACTCCTGCCAGGTCTGTGGCAAATCCCAGAACCACTTCCAAGTCTCCTGCGAAACGCAGTCATGTCACAGCCTACAGCTTTCATTTCTACAAGGTGGGCTGGCCCCCCCAGTAATAAATGCTAGTTGGAAAACAAAACCCCATTAGCATCCATTAGCTATAGGATATCTTATCTGCCATCCACTGAACTGAAGTACTGCAATTTACCCACCAAAATGATCCGATCATGTAGATCATGTAGGTCAACATATAAGCAGTGAGTATATATACATGAGTATATGGGATATGATAATTATAAATCACGTATACATTACATCTCAGACCCACTTTTTTCAATGACCCACTGATGAAACAGTATGGCTGATCCTCAGGTCCTTAGGGATACCACTGGTCCATTTGAGCTCGCGACAGAGGCGAATTGTCCATGGGGAAATGTCCCTGTCGTTTAAATGGAGAACATGATGTTCAAAAATTAGATGTGGTTGTGCCCCGTTTTCAAACAAAACCATAGTCTACTCGCATGTGCATCCCGGTTCGGAAATGGTTTATAACCATCGTTGTTGATTACTAGGATTATCCTCCCATTTTCTAGGGTTGACAATGAAACATGTTTGAAACCACCAGTATAATCCCATCCCTAAACAATACTCAACCCCCCCATGGTGATCCGCTTCCAACATCGGATATCATGATACCATGGGGGTCGGCCACGGCTTCCTCCATGATCTCGGCGAGCATCCCCTTGGAGCCCTCGACACTCTCTGCCAGCTCCGCAGGAGCCACAGACAGCCAGAGGAAGAACCTGGTGCTGGACAAATCGCTGAAACCGCAACGAACATGAACAAATAACGGGAAAGCATTCTCGTACTAATGGCAAGTCCAAATATATATATATGTATAGACATGTCATTTTGCGAGTCGTAGATCATATTCGTGACTTGATCGGTTCACATGCTCAGGCGTGGCGCCTCAAGGACAGGTCTCCCAAAATGCAACTGTTCTCTGGAGAGTAGCTGAAGGCATAGTTCTTTGCCATCTCAAACTCCTCCACCCGCGGGTGGCTTGGGCTTGGATTGATGAGAAAATATAGCAAATTTACCATCAAACATGTCAAATACAACAGACAATTAGCTGATTTAGGGTTGTCAAAAAATGATGGATGTTCTCCCAAATGCATGCATGTGTATATACTTGTATATATATATTATATGTATATATAGATCTATATGAGACCAGTTGAATAAAACAGAGAAAATGATGCTCTCGACCATCACACGTGAAATACTGTATTTCTGGAAGACTGGGATGCTGCCGGCAAATTTGCAGGAAACCTATAGTTTGCAAGCTTGCAGGACAGGTGTGGGACAAACCAGCGACCCTTAATGGCTATACGGACTATAAGCAACTAACCTACTCACCACCTAAGGTTTGCCTAGCGCCTCCAGTTGCCAGGATAATCCACTGCTGGTTCTATGGATTCCATTACAATTCCAGCAGCAAAGTTCCGCCCCACAGCAATCTGAACCCTCAGTGCAACTTTCATGTGCAGGCAACGGTGCTCCCAACATCAGCCATCAATTTTTCAACCTCCGAATTCATGTCAAAAAACAAGTTCATTTTCAAGGGTCCAGATTTCAGCTCACTTCAGCATTCTTCAGCATCCACCAGGGCTTCCATTGACTTTCCAACCTCTGCCAGAAGTTGCGGCCGATCCAGATACCTCAGCGTTCAGAAATTTAAGCAACTTAAGCCGTTCCAAGTGCTGCATATCTACTATGAGATCATTGCTGCATATCTACCGTACCTCCCAAAGCGGGATTTCAATTCAATTCCAGAAAAAAAATCAATTCCAAAGAATCTGTATTTGGCAGAGTTTCCCATAAACCAAGCCAGTGAATACCACCACAAAATAGCCCAAAAATCAGCAAAAAATTGCAAAATATGGGCCAAAGCCATGGGCCCCAGACTTATCTGCATAGATCTCAAAGCGCCGCCGCAGATTTCCCCAGTCCTCAGTGTTTTGAGTAAGGACCAATCTATGACCCATCGCCAACGGACGGCGAAGATGGTGAGGACACTCACATCTATCTATGTGATAAATGTATATATATACATATCATAAATATGTGTATAATTGTTCGATTGTAAAAAGACTGAAACAAATATAAACAAATACACATCTTGGGGGTGGGCTGGAGGGCCGGTGACAGGCTCATATTCATATACATCATCATGATTTAGGCAAATCTATACAAATATGAACTTTGGTCAAGTCCAACGCTCCAAGTCATGAAACTGACTGAGACCTGCTGGGATCTCTGGGTCAGCTGTGGGAATAATCCCTTCCCCCTATTACCAAACCCCCGAAAATAATAAAACCTAGGGTCCGTCACCAATTTTGGAAAAATTGGGGTTGGCCAATTTGACTTTTAATTGATCCCCCTTTGAAAACAATTTTAAAATGAAGCTACTATTTGTGGGTTTCACCCCCTTAATAAAATAATGAAACTAGTCAACCCCGGGGTGCTTTTTATTAGGGTCCGTCTTTTAAGGTCGAAAAACAAAGTATTTTGTATTAAGGTGTTTAATTTAATTTCGAAATCCAATTTTTGGCAATATTTTAATTAGAGCTTAAAAGCAAATCTAATCGATTTTGACATATTAGGGTTTTTAATTTAATATTAGGGGAAAGCTTCGAAATCCAATTGTTGGCAATATTTTTGAACTAGATTTTAAAAGCAAATCTAATCGATTTTGAAATAGAACAAATTAGGTGTTTCTATTAGGGTTGTTTATTTAGTTTTAGGGGAGAAGCTTCGAAATCCAATTGCTGGCAGTATTTTAATCAGATTATAAAAGGAAATCTAATCGATTTTGAAATAGTTGTTTTTTCCTATTCGGGTTTTAAAATTAGTACTAGGGGGAAGCTTCGCACCCTAATACTAAATACCCCCTAATAATAAAAACTACCTCAGGTGTTTATTATTTGGGGGGGTAGTGTTAGGGGGAACGGATTAGAAAGCGTGAATCGATACCAACCATCAACAATCTCAACCATCACTGCACATGATCTGCAATTTGGGGGTGCGGGACCCATGAATCTCAAGTGGCTTGTAACGCCTATAAAACTGGTGATGATATTCTTATATTTCTATACAAACTGGGTTGCATTATGGCTATTAGCCACTTACTGGGATGCACATCCAAAACGTTTTATGGCCAGGGCGAGTGGATGTATCCCGCCCGCTGAGCATCCGCGCAATACCATCATGGATGTAGCCCTCACAGGACAAGTCCTCCAAATGCGAGGCAGGGTTTTATGAAATTTAAGGGATATACATTGTGACATTAAGGGATATAATATGATATAATGGGGGTGTCATTGGATATGAAAGGATCTTTCTGAACCAACATGATATGTAGCTATGTCTTGTGAATCGATACTCGTGTTTTCCATTTTTATGAGCAACATGATTAAATGATGACAAACCATTGGATCTTAGGGTTTTCCCATCATTTTCAACCCTGGGGCCACAAAGCCCACACTTTGGATGCGGCCATCTGGCTGCGGCTGCCGATGCTTCCACAATGACAGGTGTCTGCTGAGATGTGTCTGTCTAACAATACTTGGGATTCCTATTCGGAGGATCATCTCATTTGGTAGGTGGTTAATGACCCTGGTTAGTAAGTGCCCTAAGTGGATTATCACATGTATAAAGTTAGAAGATCAGTTGCACAATGGCTCCTGCACCCGTGACTTGAGCGAGTTTCTGGCAACCCCTTACAGCAACATGTTTTGGGGCAAAAACTTTGGTAGTCAAGGATGTGGCTTTGCTATTTGTACCAATGGTTGGTGGATCAACGTTGATCGTCGAAGTTGTCCCTCTTCAAATTCATTGCAGTTTTGTGATCTAAATATTGGGGTAAACATGGGTAAACTATGGTACAATTAAATAAACCAAAGAAATAAACTCTCAATTGGGGTTTATGATTGGATATACCGTTTACCCATGTTTATCCTGTTCTTCGGGATGATTTAAAATAACCCGCAAATGGTTGGTTACAAGTACCCTTCCAAAAAAATATCCACACTATACTACAGACCCTGCGGGTTGGAAGATTCGTTTCCGCCAAAGTTTGGCTGTTTTCGGGGTCGAACTGTTAAATGATCAGTGTCCTCCCTTTTATGCTGGTTGGTTGAGAACAAGATTCCTGTAATGGATTGTGATAATCCCCAACTTTTTGGTTCGTAAATTCATGTACGTAGAATAATCATCATCAACATATCAACCAACAGGGACGATTTAGCAGCCACTGCCCAAACAACCAGAGGGTAAATCCCCCATTTTCAGCCCCACATTGTCCCAGTGCTAAGCAAAAACGCTGTTACGCACTCCTCCCTGGCCGCTGCACCAGGCGCCAAAAGCCTCAAGGCGAGAGGCGGGGAATCATTGAAGTGGCGCATCAATAGTGCTGCTGTTCTTTTGAAGTTTTTTTTTAAAAAAAACTATGATCATCATTGTCGGTATTTTGATAACCACCATATTGTTACTTTCAATATTTGTTCATACATATAGAATTACATATAGATATGGTATATATAAATAAATAAATAATACATAAGATAATACATATATATATAAATATATAGAACATATAGTTTATAACAATATATAAATATATAATATAAAATATAAACAAAATATAATATATATATATATATATATAAATATCTTTAATATAATATATACAAAATAAACTATATAAAATATTTTATATAATATATACATAATATCATATAATATCTTTAATATAATATATACAAAAATATATAATATCATATATATATAATATAATATATATATATATATTATAATATATATAACATAATTTATATAATATAATATATATATAATAATATATATATAATAATAATAATAATATACAGTCAGTGCCAGAATTATAGAACGGAGCCAGGAGGACAAAAGTACGGTAAAATACCGTACCTTTGTCCTCCTCCGGGTTCCGATTCGGAGCGGAGTCGGGAAATTTAATTATAGAACGGGGAGGAGGACAAAGGTACGGTATTTTACCGTACTTTTGTCCTCCTGGCTCCGTTCTATAATTTCTGGCACTGACATGATATTTACTGCATATTTGTACATATACAATCTATAAAATGAAGATTTAATGAGGATTTCATGAGGATTTGATGAGGAAATGAAGATAAAATGCAGATAAAATGAAGATTTGATGAGGAAACGAGGATAAAATGAGGATAAAATGAAGATAAAATGAGGATTTGATGAGGAAATGGTGATAAAATAAAGATAAAATGAACATAAAATGAGGATTTAATCAGGATTTAATGAGGATTTGATGAGAAAATGAGGATAAATTAATTATAGAACGAAAATGGGAAATGTGAGAAAAATGGGGGAAAACAGAATTATAGAACAACAGCGCTCCGACAAGAATGAAAGAACGACGAAAAAAATTAGGAGGAAGATCAGATACATTTTTTTTTTAAACCTTCCGAGCAAAAAACAGAATTATAGAACAACAGGGTACGGTAAATAACCGTACCTTCGTCCTCCTCAACTTCCGTTCTATAATTCTGTTTTCCCCCATTTTTCTCACATTTCCCATTTTCGTTCTATAATTAATTTTTCCGTTCTATAATTAATTATAGAACGGGGCCTGGGGAAAATTAATTATAGAACGAAAATGGGAAATGTGAGAAAAATGGGGGAAAACAGAATTATAGAACAACAGCGCTCCGACAAGAATTATAGAACGACGAAAAAAATTAGGAGGAAGATCAGATACATTTTTTTTCATACCTTCCGAGGAAAACAGAATTATAGAACAACAGGGTACGGTAAATAACCGTACCTTCGTCCTCCTCAACTTCCGTTCTATAATTCCGGCACTGACCATATATATATATATGATAATAATATATATATATATATTTGATATATATATATATATAATATCTATAATATATATATAAATGATTTATATATATATATACTGGATAATATATATATATAATATCTATAATATATATATATGAAAATACATAATTATATAATATTATAATTATTATATATGTTATCGTATACCATCATTTTGTTTTCATTGTATATTCTTTGATGTGACATGTCTTCATTTTCCAGAGAATTGACACCCAAAAACGACATATCCGAACAGTGCCCGCGACCTTGCTTGAGGATCGGCTTCCTGAGTGGCCCAGCAACAGCCCGGCAGAAACGGTGCCATGGCGCATGGTTCCGGACCATGCGAATGTTCATGGCGATGCTGAACCCATTGGAATTCGGGGCAATTACATGGACCCCCGATTTTCAGACAAACCCAAATGGCTCAAAATGGTAGAATTGAGATAAATCAAATCATTACTCAAGGGCTCGTCCCAGTTGGTAAGTGGCTTACCTCACCAGAGTTGTACCTGGACTAACATTACTTGCCCTACTCGACTTAATGGGCTTACAACGCACTTGAGATTCCTCAGATGAGCCAGCAAGCAGTACGGCTTCTTATTGGCAGCTTGGGGGCGGTACCAAGCCAACCCCGTTTCAATGGACAAGTATGGAAAAGTTACAGCAAAGCATGCATGTTACCATGAAAAATAGATGTGTCCTCTGTGTCCTCTGGATTTTCCCATTTAAAAAATGGGACGCTGTTATGATGTTTAAGCAATGAGGGGTACCACGTGTTCTTGTGCCAGGCTGATTTACCCTTGGCGCGGTTCTCAAGCGGATTTGTAGATTAGGTATCAGCCAGTTTCGGTCTGACAGTCAGTGGCAGTGCTGAAAATGGAACTCAAATTCAACCGATCACGGCCCAGGCATAAGAATCAAACAAGACAATCAATGACTGTCCAGCATGGCCTTGCTGATTTCACTTGGGGATGGAGTGCAACACTCCAATTGGATGTGTCAGAGCAATGGCGCGGGGTGGGGCCGCATTCACTTTTTCGCCAAGAAAAAAGGCGATGGAATGCCACCGAAGGCAAACGCGCACTGTAGCACCTGTTGCACGAACAGCTTGGCTTCAAATGCAGACCAAACCCTGCGGTTGCCAGTCCAAGCAACCAGGAAACAGAACTAAAAATCACAAACCAAGCAAGTTCATGTGCCACCCTAAATGCTACAACACCAAGCGAATTTGCCAGCTACTGGCTGTTTGAAACAACTTCAACAGCCAGAGCAGCAGGAATAAACAACATCACCGGACCGTGATGTGGAATAGGCGCGCCTCTCTACACGAGAGTGCAGTTTTCAGTCAATTGCTTTATATACAGTCTCCTGTCTAATTACTCTTCTATCGGCCTCCAGGTCCCTCAAAATCGCTCTCAATAGTTTCTACCTAATTTATCCCAATTTAATGTTTGAAACATTACGCATTTCCTTGCCCTGTTGTCGCCCATTTCCTCAGCTGAGGAGAGGGAAACCACATGTGAACAAATGTTTGATGTTTACCTAGACTCCAAAATACGTCACGGACAATTTTGGGTCAAATAGAGCTTATTTTAATGATTTCCCATGTAGAATCCGAAATTCACCTGCCTTCCCCATGGATGCTGCACACATTGACCTGAAACCCAACAAAAACAAACTCTATCCTTTACCTAGGTATCATATGCGATGTTCGCAAAGTTTTGAGACCCTCAAAACCAATGGTTTCCTGTTTCCTCGCGAAAAAAATCCTCCCGTTTTCGGAAACAGAAATCAGATGAAATCAGATGAAATCAGACATATCTTGGGATGATTTCTCCCTTCTCTGGGTCCATGTTCACCCCGAAACGGATTGAAATCCTCGGTGTTGGTTTTTCCCCCAATGGACCAGCCAATTCGAATAGCGCCCCTCTCCGACCCCCAGATTGGGGAAATGACTTTCTTGATCCTTCATGGATCCTCATTATATACTACCGTTTGTCTTGGAAGCTCACAAAGGGTACCCCCAGTAATGTTCCCCCCCCAAAAAGCCCACCTCAATGGTGGAGGGTTTTGTCAATTCGAGATGCTTTTAAACCACCCCAAAAAACATGTTGCCAATGTTGACCTATAGCGGGGGGAGACCCCCCCGGCTTATTCAGATTTAGTATTCCCCTTGAAGATATATAGGATTTTCCCAAATATGCGGATCCAGTACCCACTATGTACTTAAACGTCATTTTCCCATATTTGCATATATGTTCCCCAACCTACCATGAACCATCGCAATTCTCCTGGACCGCGCATCCCACGTTTGCCCGAATTACTTTGAAGATCCGTCTCTCAGTGGCCCGGAGGGCCAACGAACCTCGGAAGACTGCACAAATCCATCAGGATTCCTCCAAAAGTTGCACATTTTTTGGGGCAAAATCTCCCATGTGCCCCCCTTGTGCCTACAATTTACCGACACTTGGTTGGAGCAACCCTGTCAATGGTTGGGATTGAATAAACAAATAGAGGAAAACATGGGTTTAATCCTCAATGTAGTGTAGGGGTGTCAACCGCAGATTTTCCCAACAGCCTGGAAAAGAGAATAGAATCCACCCACTCTTGGGGTACTAGTAAGATTCTAGTAAGTATGGTTTATTTCATGCTCTGAAATGGTTTGTGATGCGTTATTGTTGGGTTCACATCATTACACTGAATTGAAGTGGAACATTGGAATTAATGTTGTGAATTCTGATGACTTGTTGACATGAATGTGCTTGTGCAAAGACCCAAAACAGCGAAAAATCCAGACTCAAAACATCTCAAACCTGTCAAAAACAGCTGGCTGTGGCTCAAATTCATGGACCGTGTGGCATCGTAATGGTTTGACCACGTTTGACCCCAAGTTTCAAACCCAACTCAGCCACTGCCAGGGTGCAATGAGCGTGCCACACGCTTCTTCTTGTGCTTGGGACCATGCCCTGCACTATCCTGGGCAGCTGAAGGTTTGTTAAGTCCATGGGGAATACAAAACAATGCAAAATCTTCGGGAAAAATGATGGGAAAAATGATGCTATACCAGTGGATGTTGGGATATATGGGGATATGCCATGAACAACATGCCGTGATTTGGAAATTCCAGCGACGGGTTGCTGTTAGATTTCAGCACGAGACCTGACATGAGGAATTCACCGATCTGGGAGTGGTGGAAATCGACAAAGCCAAGGAAACAGTTTGTCTCCGCAACCCTAAACTCCAACAAAGCCTCTGGTCAAACATGACAACTGAAAAACCATGCCAGAGTTATATATATATAGATATTCCCATTTAAGGCCCATCTGGCCCATCGATAGTCGTTGATTTCCCAGCCATGTTTGATGACAATGGAGGCTGTTCCAGCCATTTGGAAGCACCGAGCTGCATCATCCGATGGCATTTGTCTTTTACCTTGGCAAATGGCTAGCTATCGAGGCTCCAAAACAAAAACGCATCGAGGCGCACAGCAAAAACATATAAGTTTGATTGGCCTTTACAGTGTAAGCGCATATGATTTGATGTTGTGTATACACAATTAACTGTATATGTATACATACACTGTATATATCATATGTATTGTATTTAATAGGTATATATCTATAAGACATTATAAAGTAATATTGTTCCCCACATTGACGTGTGTTTTTTGTTTTTAGTTCTGTATCCGCCTCCTCCTCCTCCTCCTCCACCTCCTCCTCGCCCGTCCTCCTCCTCCTCCTCACTCACACACACACTCACTCACTCACTCACTCACTCACTCACTCACTCACTCACACACTCAAACGCTCACACACTCACACACTCACTCACTCACTCACTCACTCACTCACTCACACACTCACACACTCACTCACTCACTCACTCACTCACTCACTCACTCACTTTTTCACTCACACAGACACACACACACACTCACTCTCACATAATCACACTCACTCAATAGATAGCTGATAGCTTGCGTCTCCCTGCCATGTTTTAGATGGCATTTTTGGCTTTCAGGCGGCATGCTCACGTCGATACATGATAGATGGCTTGCGTCTCCCTGCCATGTTTTAGCTTGTTTCAGCTGGCATTTTTGGCCTCAAACGGCATGATCACGTCGGCCTGGCTTGCGTCTCCCTGCCATGTTTTAGCTTGCTTTAGCTAGCATTTTGGGTTTTTCATGGCTCCGCATGCTTGCACTCACTCACTCACTCACTCACTCACACTCACTCACTTTCACTTCCTCACTCACTCAAGCACGCACTCACTCACTCACTCACACTCACTCTCACTCACTCACTCACTCACTCAGTCAGTCAGTCAGTCACTCAGTCACTCAGTCACTCAGTCACTCACTCAGTCACTCAGTCACTCAGTCACTCACTCAGTCACTACCTCCTCAAGCACAGCACCGAACCGAACCGACCGCCGCACCTCACCGTCACGCACGCACCGCACCAGCACCGCCGCACGCTAGGCACGAACATAAGTTAAAGCCAATAAGTGTCAAATCACTCAAAGCACTAACGCAAATCACTCAATTCACGAAAATTCCCTCACGACATAAAACTCACCTCACTCACCTCACTCACCTCACTCACCTCACGCACCTCACTCACCTCACTCACCTCACTCACCTCACTCACCTCACTCACCTCACTCACCTCACTCACCTCACTCACCTCACTCACCTCCCTCACCTCACTCACCTCACTCACCTCACTCACCTCACTCACCTCACTCACCTCACTCACCTCACTCACCTCACTCACCCCACTCACCCCACTCACCCCACTCACCCCACTCACCTCACTCACCCCACTCGTCAGTCGTCAGTCACTCACGCAATCACTCAGCCAATCAGTTCACTCACCAGTCAGTCACTCAGTCACCCAAGTGTCAGTCAGTCCACTCAGTCACTCTCTCACTCACTCACTTCACTTCACTTCACTTCACTTCACTTCACTTCACTTCACTCACTTCACTCACTCTCACATCCCTCACTCACTCACACACACCACACTCACACTCACTCACTCACTCACTCACTCACTCACTCACTCACTCACTCACTCACTCACTCACTCACTCACTCACTCACTCACTCACTCACTCACGCACTCACGCACTCACTCACTCACGCACTCACGCACTCACTCACTCACTCACTCACTCACTCACTCACTCACTCACTCACTCACTCACTCACTCACTCACTCACTCACTCACTCTCACACACACACACACACGCACCACGCTCACATCCCTCACTCACTCACTCCACACTCACATCACTCACATCACTCACATCACTCACTCACTCACT